TCTCTTGCCGGGTGGCGTTTAAAAGAAACAACTTTTGCCTGAGCAAGATTAGGGGGAAGCCACAGAGTTTCTCCGGTGCGTTGCTCGGCAGATTGCCATGCAACCCCCATTCCCCCCCCCCCCCCCAAAACAATACAAACACGTGAGGATGTCCTTGGGTGACCCTTTTGGGTTCCGTTTTGCAGGGGAGTAAAGGTCCAGCCAAAAAGCAACCAAGCGTTCTTGGCCCTTTGGTCTGTGTAAAATGGGCGTCAGCGTCCAACCGGCTCAAAGCCCACCGCACCGGGAGCTCAGGTCAAAATGGCTGCCCGCCTTGGAAAATCGCATGGGCCCCTGAAAGCGTTCATCGTACATGCGATGCCGTGCAAGAGCACAAGTGTCCGCATAAGAGGGACCATGTATGGACTTATAGATGCAATTGGATAAAACAAAACAAACACATTCTATCAAACTGAACCGGCACAAATACAGTAAGCCTTTTTCCCATCGTAAATCCCCCGCAGTTGTTGTCAGCGACGTTGGCAAAACGGCTGTCCCATCAATTTCAACGTGTGAGGTGTTGAATCTCTCTATCAGCTGCATGTTGTCTTGTGTTATTGTGATGTCTGATGTCTGCTTCGCAACTTTGCTTCCCTCCTACATAGATTCTGCAAGCCACTTCCCACACATACCATACCTCCGCAAGCTCCCACTTTCGCTTGAACGGGATCCCGCTGAGGCAAGCCGCTGCTCACGTCCTGCTCTCAAGCTTGCACCATTGGTCACCTTTGATATCCCCTTGCACCACAGGGGTGTCATTTTTTGAGGGGACCCCCTTTTGGTCGTGTTTTGAAGGGAAACCAAAAGGAAAGCTACCCTTTTGGGGGGTCTCCCAAGGAAAGACACCCCCCATTCGTCAACTTTTCTTTCGCCAGGTCCCGCCCTGCGCCCCCCCCGCCTGCCAGCGATGCGCAAAACCGGCTGCACAAAGCCCGGTGCAGGTGCCAAAAGCACGCCCCCTTGGAGGAGGACGGGGGTAGGCAACTGCCTCGCCGAGCACACGAACCGGAGCAGTCCCAATGGCCTTCTCCAAAATCTTCTGGGCGACACCCAACAAGCAAGTCTTGTGCGAGATTTCAGCAAGCTGATTCTGTGGCTGGCCAGAAGCTCGATAACAGTCACCGGCGAATCCCTCATGCATTGAGGCATGCTGGAACCCAGATTGCGATTCCTGGGAAACAGCAAAAGGGGTCAGCGAGAAATGGGCCAGCCAAAAAACAGCAACGCTAGCACACGCGCGAAGGGATCTGCAGCCTCTACCGGCACTGCCCGTTTCATTGTGTTGCGCGTCAATTGTCAGCATGCGGGCCGGCGCTACACACCGGGAGCCAAGCTAGTGATGTTGGCCATGCTCTGATTTTGCAAGGTAAACATCGAGGCTAAAAGTCCTCTACAAGTTTCGCCAAACAAGTTGTATCGCTGCTTGCACACCTCATCCTTATCGTTACCTGCCAACTTGCTAGCACACGTGCTACGTCTGGCCGAGTCAGGGTGGAACCACTCACCAGTTGACTGGCCAAAACAAGTTTGCACTTTTGGGACCTTTAATGACGAACTTGGTAAACAAAAGCTGTGCGTCACGCAAGCGAACGGGATTGCAACCAGGATGACAAGTACAAGCGCTAAACATATTTGACTTTGGATAACACCGGCAGGGTAATTCCTTGCATGCAACGTGAATCAGGGCGCACCACCACAGGCGAATCACACCTGCTTGGTATGGTTCTTGGTATTCATCCGAACTTTAACTGCATTAAAGCTGGTTCGTGTCAAATTTGCTTGGCCAGGAGCAGGTGAAACTCGACAACAGCTGGTTCTTGGCCGAAAAGTTCAATTACTGTTTCTGCAACCATGCTTCTCCGGCTGTAGCTCGAGCAATGGTGAATGATGGTATATCTCTGTGCCGGATCTATACTACGTCTCAGGGGTCGTTCCATCTTCTTCAGCTGGCCAGAAGACATGTAGGCGTCCAATCCTTTCTTGGTCAGATTCCCTTGAGCACCAGGCAGTTCTGACCTTGTAGCAAAAGTGACTCGCCGCGACGGGTGCTTCTGTCCCTTCGGAGCACATAGACTCGTTCTCATGACCTTTGTGGCGTTCTAATTACCGGGTCTCTCCAATGCGACACTGATCCAATCATTGATCAGCTGATGTTCGCCTAGAAGACGCTCTTGAGTCAAGACAAGCTCAGCGATTTGGGCGGTTGTCAACATTTCCGCTTCAAAAGGAGGCGGAAAGCAACTTCTGATGGGTGCCAATCGTTCAGAAGTGCCTTTCCAGTGAATAAAAGACGGGTACTTGAATCACCCCGAAGCCCCTTTTCAAAACGGACGGCTTTCCTTCGTCGTTTATTCATATGACGAAAGTTGGTGGAGTACCCCAATTGTCTCGGCTCCATGGGTCCAATGTTTTAGACAGGGATCCTTACATTATACACCTGAACATTGCCTTGTAAATGGTGGTCTCCCTTTATTAAGGAGCCCTGTTAGAGGGCACCACCTTCTTGCGGTTTGAAAGAGACAGAAGGACAACCCTTCAAAATGGTGGGTCCCACAAGAAAAGACGATCCCATACTCTGGCGCAAAAAAGAGTCGGCCTTGCCCCGCCTTGAGCCCGGCGCAGTTGCCTGGCCTGCTGCCCAAGCGACATCAGGTCCAGCTCCTGAGTGCTTTTGTTTTGCGGCCAGGGCCCCGCCTGAGGTTGCCCTCTCTCAAATTTCCAGACACAAAGCGTGAAGAGTCAAAGAGGGGTGTGGCCAAAAATATCCCACCAGGAAAGCTAATCCTTCTCCAGATTTGGAATGCGGCCGTGAATTAGGACAGCTCCTGTCCATGATGATTCGGCGGTTTTCCCAAAAGCAAGATGTTGAAACCTGTACAACCCCTTGGCAAGGTTTCTAAGGTCCGAAACAAACCCACGTGCCCATGAAATGTGCATCAGCATGGCGATAGACGGTTTGCATTCCAAGTGGTCCATTCAACAGGGGACCTATCACTTTGACAAGGCATACTTTCACTTTGAAGGCGGCTGGGTACTTCAGCCCCAAATCCAGTCGTCAGGAGAAAGCGCCAGCTGAAAGCGGCACGGCAAAACAAAGCGGGTAGCATGAGCCAAGTCCATGCGGAATGGGATGATGAGTTCCATGGGGTGCGGCTGGAAAGGAGTCACGACGCGTTTCAGAGACTTTGGGTTCACATTTCGAAAACCTGAGATAAGGAAGAGCCCCTTCAGAAAAGGAGGCTTGGGCTCAAGGTCGCAAACTAACACCCTTTGCCAGGCCACCAAGCAACCGCAACAATTTGCGACTCTTAGATGCCATCTTCTAATCACGGCAGCTGACAATGCCACGTTGCGCAACGCGGTCGTGAATGGTCCGTTTTTACCTGGCGGTAAACCTAATACTTCTCCCGACAAACAAAACCTTACATGCCAGAAGTGCAACGCGCGAGCTGCTGGTTGAACAAATGGGAATCTGAACCTGGCAACTGCGCGTGAACATATCTTGCCTTCTCTGGGGAATAACCCACAAGGGCCGCCTGCTAGTGTCAAACGGAACCCAAAGCCATGACCACGTCCTCGTCAGAGGCCTCGGACGACATCACATCGTCGTTCGACATGTCTTGGCACGGGATGTCTCTCTCCTGGCGCAACAGAGGCGAATGACGCTTTCAGCATCCCACAATTCCAACATGAACCATTGCAGGTGTGTTCTCACCCTCCGCGTGTTTAGAGTCACGTTGCTTCTGCTATAGAAACTGTGGATATCCTGAAACAAGCTGAGCAAGCAATGCCTAGTGCAAATCTCAACATTCCTGAAGACCCCATGCGATATTTCATCAAACGCGTAAGCTGCAGAAATTGCGAACTGTGAATTTAGCCGGTGGCGAACACCCCCATATACTAATGGTAATGTGGTGGAAACATTCACTACTGCTCACGTACGTTTTATCAACAGGACTGCTTGCCATGGGGCAGCAGAGCAGAAACGAGCTTCTGCCTCTTCATTCCGGTCCATGTGAGAAACATGAGCCCTCACTTGTCCAACAAACCTGAGACTCAACACGGGCCAAACCAAATTAGATCACTAAGGGACGTATGGCGGTGAGTGTGGCAATATGCATTACACACAGACTCTGGGCTTGAATCATTGAATGCTGCCTTTTTAGCTACCGAAGTTCGCTGTTTTGCATCTCAACTTGAAATCTCACGAATATGAGAGCTTACTTTCACGGGTGGCAAACACCCAGCGGTGAAGTGGGGAGATTCGCCAATCTCTAAAAGGGCATCTGGGCTGGGTATTAAGCAGCTCCGTCTCGGCTGTTTGGAATGCGAAACTCACTGTAAGGGACGGTTTGGGAGAAAGAACAACGTAGGATTCCACAAACAGCTGATGAAGTGGAACAACAATCAGTAGCATAGTATCACCAACGCAGCAAAGTCAAGCGGAAAATAACTAAGTCTGGGTTGATCACACTGTCGACTGTGCCACTTGATTCGGTCCAGCCATCAATCCAGAAGATCCAGCCATGCCATCACTGCAAAATATGGGGTGTCTCAAAACAGTGGACCCCTTTTTGGATGCTTTTAAAAGGAAACCAAAAGGAAACCTCCTACCTGGAGGAAATGGTCCCCTATTTTGAGACACACCCATATCGAACCTTTCCAGTGGACAATTTTGACCCACCCAACTCATGTTTGCCCGGTGGCTGCTTCTTTGGCAAGCTCCGGACTGGGGACCGTATGTATGGCGAAGTCACTGCGAAAGAATCGCATGGCGATGCGTGGAAGTTCATCTGATCGATCGCATGACAATGCGTGGAAGTTCATCTGATAGATCGCATGACGATGCATGGAAGTTCATCTGATAATCTGACAAGGATCTTGGCAGGATTACTGCCAATGGATGCAGCTGACAACACATTGCCGTGTTTCTGCTTAATCGAGGTCAACATGATTTTGCTTCATTGCAGGATGAGGTCGCCAAGGTCATTCTTCGAGAGCTTCATAGAGCTTCGCATCCGGCAAAGATCTGGATATGTCTTGGGATATGTACAACTGGCCCAGTCTGAGAGGTCTGAAGTCGGCTGCTTGTCGGGGCTGACGAGGAAATCCAACAACGTGGCCTTTGCGAGCAATTCCTGCAGAGGGATACAGGCGGCTATGGTGCATCATGATACATCATACAGTGAAGAGAGAAAGCGCTTGAATGGGAATGAATCTGTTATCTCTTTGCTTAAAAAAAATATCTTCTTGATTTGTATTGTTTAATATTTTCCTTTCTTATTGGTGTTGATTATTAAGTGGCTTTATGGTTAGACCGAAAGGATTCCAAAGGTAGCAACTAAAGTAAAAGAAAAGACAAAGAAGATGAAAGTAAAGAAGGAAAATATATTAAAAGCATTTCTGTCACTAATAATTTTCCCTTTAATAAGTTCTTGATCAATAGAGGAATATTTGTAGGTGTTTTTTTTTAGTATCTTGTCTTCCAGCTTGTTCTAGCTACGGCTTGCCACAAGCTACTTCGATGATTTAACTTGAATGATGATTGCTCCGCCAACTTGTGTCTCAAGCAGCTCGTGAATCCCTGTCCTGGTCCATCTCTTCAATCTTCTTGAAGTTGAAAAACGTCGTCCGAATTGACCACAAACACGCAAACACACCCTTTTCAGATGCCTCAAAGCCGAATTTCTCCATAACTGGAAGTTGTAATGGTAGGCATGTCTCACGCTTTGCTTTCTGTTCTTTTGCTTTGTTGCCGCCGGCCGCTGTCCAAGCAGCAGTCAACTTCTGCTGAAAGGCCTCCGCCATGAACGCCTCAATTAAATCATCGTGCAGGGCAACGCATTGCTGATGAGTCAAATTGTTGTCCACGGATTCTTTGCACAGCTTTGCCGTCTTCGCCCGCTCTCGTTCCATCTGGTCTTGCAAATCTTTGAATTTGGTGGAAGCGCTTCCCAGCGTGTTGGAATACTCTCTCTCCATGGCATCAGCAATCCGCTGCCACCACTTTCCTTGCGACCGAACTCTGTCCAAACTGCTGGCTTGCAATCGAAGCCCCGGGGTTGAAATCCACAAGTTCTTGCCTTGTGCGCTAAGCCTAGATCTCAAGACCAGGTCCGGACAAACGGCAGCCGCAGTATCAAGCGACGGCTTCACATCCGCATGGGAAGCTGCCGAAAGACCACCCTCACAGCGCAACATGATGACGAAGCGGTCTCCAAGTTGAAAGCAACCAACGGCCCGACGGGTGCAGTGCATCTTGATGGACTCACAGGTAATCGGGCGCCAATCTGCTGAATGGTACCCACTACTGGTTCCAGTCTGTTGGTTGATGGCTTCAAAGCTGTTGACCTTGGCAAAGAGATCCAAATCATCGATGATGATGAGGCAAGCATGGGGAAGAAGCTCGCAAATCAGATGAAGCTCATCCATCAAAGGAACTTCCTGCTCGAGTCCCGCTGTCACTGAGCCCGACCAGTGCGCGTCCAAGTAGAGGACTGATGGGCCGCTGATCTTGGGCAGCAGCTTTTTCAAGATCTCGGTGGACTGCCCCAGATGGAAGTGGATTGACCGAGAGGCTTTCCAGGCAAAGAGTTTCGCCGCCTCGAAACATTGAGGACTCAGCTCGATGGTGTGCAGTTCCCTGAAATGTTGAGACAAAGCGATTACCTGGTGTGGCCGAATTGCCCAACATGCGTGTTACGTCAACAACTATCAACAATAGCAATATGAGGCGGTTGGGTTCAAAACCCCATGTCGAGGAATCCATTGACAAAACAAATAACTCCATGAAAGCAAAGCTCAGGCACTGTCTGGCCGAGGAAAGTGCCAGTTTCAATGAAATGGCTAAAGCCTCGGCATGAAAAATCCTTCCGCTCGCATTCTTCGAAGATTTGCTGCAGGTCTGCCCAAGTCAGGGCCCATTGATCATCCCTTGACATAGCCATGGCAAACCATTGCGCAGAGCGAGATGCAACATTTGACCGTCGCAACAAGCCGATTGAAGATTTGGGGAAATATCTTGGGGCGTTGAGCTCCTTCGCTATCCTGAAAATTGCATTCAGGTACTCCCAGGGCTTAACCGATGCGGCTGGCGCGCAAACAAATCTGAGTCTGTTGCATAGCTGAATCATCTATGGGGAAAGCAACTTATTTTGCTCTTGACATTGGAATTTCGCTCGACCCTAGCTGACGAGTCACAATTGTCACTTGCTAATCCATCATGTGACCTGGGTAAAGAGAATCTACGCGACGGCTCACTGTTAAATGATATATTAAGGAAGTCTGCAACATAGAAGATCATCCCAAGCCCTAACCAATTTCTGGAGGTTCATTCCATGAAACACCACCTTTCCAACGCACTCGCCTCGCTCACGGCGGTCTTCTCGCGCAGCTCTTGCTTTGCGAGGTCCCAGTGGCTCTCCTCCTCCAGCAGCTGGCGCAGGACAGCCTGGCCGAGTTGGCCAGAAAGGCTCGGATCTGGGCGAAGGGGTTGGTCTTGGGCGATCCATTGGTCGAGACGACTGGGAAAAAGCCTTGGCAGACTGGGAGAAATGCCTTTCTCGTTACTTGGGGGCTGTCTCCAAAAGGGAACGAAAGGAAAACCACAAGGAAGCCACCCCTCCTGTTGACTTGCCCGGCCCCCCGCAGCTGTCCAGTCTGTCATTTAGGTGCCTTTGCGTTCGGCAGCGAGGAGAGATGGTAGAGTCGCTATAAGTCCATCTACTGCGGCAGGCAGCACGATGCCGAAGGAATGGGCGAGTGGCATACGAAATGGCCCAAGGCAAGCTGCCAAGCCAAGTTTGGGACCGCAAGGCAGGCCGCAAAGCACCGTGGCTGCGCTCAATGAACCTGGAACCCGCTGCGCGATGCGCCAAGCCAGCGTCCACTGGGTCACCAGATCACATTGGGTAGGGGACACAGGGCTGCGCGACTATGTATAGAGCCTTGACCAACCGCGGCGAGGTCCACACAGTTTGAATGCTGCACGGCATGGGAACATCCAGCGACAGAAAACACCGCATGCCTCACTGGCTGTTCGCGGGAGCTAGCTTCGGACGCAGGCTACAAACGAGGAGACCAGATATGAGCGTGCCGCTCAGCAAAGAAAGTTTTCCCGAAAGCATGGCGAAGGGTTCTTCCGCTGGGTTCACTTGAATTGTTCTCATGAGAGTCATTACAAGGTGTCATTGCAAGGAATCATCATCATGAAAGTCAATGCAAGGAGTCATTGCAAGGAGTCATTGCAAGGAGTCAAGCAGTCCCAAGATTTGCAACTTGCACTTGACTCCTTGCACACTCCATGCACTTGACTGCACTTGCATTGCACACTTGGCTCCTTGCACGCTTGCACTTGCAACTTGCACTTAACTCCGTGCACTTGCGACTTGCACTTGACTCCATGCACTTGGCTCCTTGCAACTTGCAATGGCTCTCATGACTCCTTGCAATGACTCAATGACTCCTTGCAATGACTCCTTGCAATGACTCCTTGCAATGACTCCTTGCAATGACTCCTTGCAATGACTCCTTGCATGACTCCTTGCTGACTCCTTGCAATGACTCCTTGCAATGACTCCTTCCTTGAAACAAGCAAGGAGTCAAGTGCAAGTTGCAAGTGCAAGGAGTCAAGTGCAATTGACTTGCGAGGAGTTAAAATCTCTTCTTAGGGCGGCGGGGTAGTGCCGACGACACTACACGAAAATCGACCCTCTGCGGGGATCGGCGTGGTCGAGGTGCAAAAACCCATGGTTTTTTGCGATTTCTAAAGTTCCCGCGCGACCCTCTGCGGGGATCGGCGTGGTCGAGGTGCAAAAACCCATGGTTTTTTGCGATTTCTGTGCTCGCGCGACCCTCTGCGGGGATCGGCGTGGTCGAGGTGCAAAAACCCATGGTTTTTTGCGATTTCTAACCTGCTCGCGCGACCCTCTGCGGGGATCGGCGTGGTCGAGGTGCAAAAACCCATGGTTTTTTGCGATTTCTGCCTGCTCGCGCGACCCTCTGCGGGGATCGGCGTGGTCGAGGTGCAAAAACCCATGGTTTTTTGCGATTTCTGCGGTGCTCGCGCAACCCTCTGCGGGAATCGGCGTGGTCGAGGTGCAAAAACTCAGGTTTTTTGCGACTTTTGTTGTTCGAACTGGTCCTCGGGAGTTGTCTCGTGGTTCGCGCGCCTGCTCCCGGAACCGGCGGGTCGCGGGTTCGATTCCTCCCTGGTCCGCGGGCGGGCGTCGCAAGATGCAACTTGCATTTTACAGCAACTTGCGCAGAGCAACTTGCGCAGAGCAAGTTGCACAGAGCAACTTGCGCAGACCAACTTGCACCGACCAGTTTGCGCAGAGCGCCTTGCCTAGAGCAACTTGCGCAGAGCAACTTACGCAGAGCAACTTGCACAGAGCAACTTGCACAGAGCAGCTTGCACAGAGCAACTTGCAGGGAGCGCAATTTGCACAGAGCAACTTGCAGGGAGCCAACTTGCCGGAGCAACTTGCGCGGAGCAACTTGCGCAGAGCAACTTGCACAGTGCAACTTGCGTAGAGCAACTTGCGCAGACCAACTTGCACCGACCAGTTTGCGCAGAGCACCTTGCCTGGTGCTGTCTCGCGCTTGCTTCACGAAGTGTAGGGAAAAAGAACGCATCCTGCAGCGTTGGGCCGACCTCGCTTGCGATGTTCTGCTTTCGGGCCAACCGTGGTCTAGTTTTCTCGCGGGCCATCGCGGGTTGTGCAAATCGTTTGCCCATGAATGAAAACATGGGCAACAGCAACACGCGCGTCGAATGTCATGGCCGAGTCAGCGCCCATCACAGGCTACCGGGCATCACAGGGCCAGCTGGCCCGCTCTCAGGCAATTGACCCTTGCTGACATGGTTGTGGATAGGCAGAGATGTAGTGCGCAAAGCAAGCTGGCCAGCAGCCTTCCACGCTCCGGACGACCACGCTCCAAGCTCCGAACACAAGCCACGCCTCGCGCCTTTTCAGCGAGACAATTGAATCAGCTCTGTTCAATTGAATCGATTCCTTTTGGCTTCAAATTTATTTTAAACCTCCAAAAAGCGCACCCTTCCCGCCTGGTGGCAGGCGCTGGTCTGGTAGAGCAGCTCCTCCGCCAGGCCTTGAATCTGAGGAAACGAAGCGGGGACCATCCACCGGGCCCGCTGAAGTCGGAACTAGTTTTCCACACACAAAAGACAACGCCACAAGAAGAAAAACTGGTGGCAAATGAGCTGAAACACGACAACATGCATCAATTGCGAGGTTGCAAGTCCAACTCGTGTTGCCAACCGCTCCCTTGGTAACCATGATTTGCTTGGTTATGTGGGGGACCCAAAGCCCACACTGGCGACCGTTTAAATGATCCGTTGTTCGATAACATTCGAGTGAGCTTGTGGCTGCTAGGGGGACCCTTGCGAACATGATCCTTCATGAGGGCTGGCATTGGTCGTAGTCTCTGGTGCTGGCATTTGCCCGGACACATGATGCCTCCATACAATTATTGTTTACCATGTACCATTTCTACTTGACAAATCAGTGCAGTTTCGCCGCAATGATGTTGTTTGTGGAGATTCTTCAAACATTATTCCACGAGAACTCGGTTCAACGACAAACCTGAACATGTACCCATCTTGCGGGCTGACAAGGACAAAATACACCAACATACATAGGAAGCGGTAAGCAACGCAGATCGTTCCGTCGCACTCATACCTTGAGGTGAAGACATGACTAACACATGAAGAACAAAGCAACATCATACCGAACAGAAGTGTGATATCAAACATGGAAGTGCACAGGCTCCTTTCTTGAAAAGGAGAGCACTCTTGCAATGGGACCACTCTCATACTTGCTGCTGGAATGGGGTATGATGGTTTGCCCAAAGTCCATCTCAATACACGAACTGGCTGCTTCTGGGCAATCTGCCATGTTCTCATTGGTTCGTAGTAAAACAGACATCCCGAAAAGTTTCGACGGTGTATTTCTTTCATCCCTGAAAGGGTAAGAGCAACTGGTGTGTTGTCCCGTCTCAGAAAGCGAAGCGCAAACACCGATTTACACTTAGAGCATTGCTCCAAGCGTCGCAGGAGTAGCAGCCTCTGTGCCCCCAGCAGCCGCTTGGAGCGCGCAAAAGCTGCCAAGAGCGACTGGAGCTTCTGTAAGTCCAAGTTGCTCAGCCAGCCTGCAGGTTCAGAGCGTTAGGGTGAGTTCATATAGGGTTGACTGGTTGTAGAAGATAACCCTGTGCTTCTTGCGTGCTTCTTGTTGTGCAAAACAACCCTGACAACAGAATGGGATGGCATTGGGGAGCATCTCCTTTCACTTGACACCGCAGCAAGGCAATTGTTCCTTTTGAACGACTACGTTTAGGGCAAGCAATGGGATTTCCTTGGCCAATCACAAACAGTGGCAACCTGAAGCCTGCATTTTGCCACGCTCATCGCGAGCTTTTGGCCGCAAACCCAAGCACGTGCTTGCTCTTCGCATGAGGGAGCTTCTGAATAGCTCGATGGAATCCTTTCATGCACTTGCCAGTAGATGTCCATTTTGTGCATCTTCTCAGAGGCTCCGCGTAATATTGGCAACGATATTTAAGTTACCAACATCACGAAGATCGCAGCACTACCAAAGCCCCCCGGACGTTTCGCCAGAGGTTTCAAAATCGAAGCAACAGGCCCAGTTTTCTGTTCTTGAGCAGTCTGCTCAATGAACCTTCGCAGAGAGCGATCTATATGCAGTTCTCCATGACAGCAAGACCCCGAGTGAGTATGAAACCTTTTGAAGGGGTGCGTTCAATTTCACAAACAGGAGGGAGAGGAAAGGGTTTGACGACCCGGAGCGGGCTACCTTGAAACGACCAAGGGCGCACATGGAAACCCAAAACGAATCATGAAGCCCTTCCGGTAGAAACTGTTCAAAGTTCAGATAAATGAAGAATAAGCCTTTCCGTGATATGAAAA